ATGTTAATTTTAATTTTTGGGTGAAAAAAAAAACCCCCGCCCCTTGGCCCCCCCCCCCCACCCCCCCCCCCCCCCCAGTGCTCCACTCTCAGGTCGCCCCCCGTCACTGCGAACTCCAGTCGACGAATCAGAATTTGACACCAAAAAAACAAAAATCAAACAACAAAAAACATTAAAAAAAAAAAATGAAGGTGTTGTTTTGATTGACAGCTGATTAAAGGGCGGGAACCGTCAACACCGTCGGCTGTTGTTGAACGTCGGACGTGTCACGACCTGAACCAGAACGGTCGGCCGCTCCGCTGTCACGCAACCTGCGAAACCATTCACAGTTTTTTTTCCCGATTCACTCAGCGGTGCCACCCAGAGACGCCCGACGGAACGACGGAAAAACAAAAAAAAAAAAAAATGTATTTAGCATAAAGTTATTTTTCGGGACATATATGTATTTATATCATTTTAAAAAATAATTTTACAAAATATTTTGCCAAAAAAAAAAATATTAGAATTTGACCAAAAACGTTAAGAGTTTTATAGAAATTAATTTATAAAAATGTTTTTTTAAATGTCCGAATTTTACGAGAAACATTCTTGCAAAAATAAAATTTGGAAAAAAAATAATTTTACAAATTTTTTTTTTCTCCAGATTTTCACCAAACACAAAAAGATCAGATTTCGACCAATTTTTTTTTTTTTTAAATTAAATTAAATTTTTTAACGAGAAACGAGAAAAAAAACGTTGGTTTCAAAAGTGATCAGAACGATTCGAGCGCCATCTGCTGGTTATTAATTACGCTCCGTCTCCGCGGCTAAAAACGTACTCCTGTTTAGTTGAAGACAACGCGTTACGCAGAGGCAGGAATTGAAGAAAGAAACTCGCACAAAGATCTTCTTCAGCTCTGTCTTTTCTTAGTTTTCTTAGATCTGCTGCCACCTAGTGGAAGAGAATTAAATTGCTCTGCCTGACACGCATTAACGAATAACGGAAAAAAAAAAATATTTGCGATAAATACATAAATAATATTTTAGGACCAATTAGGTGACATCGGATAATTTTCCCCCGCGGCACACTAGGGGGCGACGGCCCAGGGGTTGAGAACCACATCTCTGCCAGGGGCCCGGGATTTGAACCAGCAACCCTTTTTACGATTTCGAATCCTTTTATCCGAAAGTAAGAATTCATGTCGTTTCACTCGTCTTATATTATTATTTATCTATAACAGACTCCGCCACTAGGTGGTGCTGTTGCAATGTTTACATTTAAAAGGGAGAACTAAACTACAAAAAAAAAGTAGTGTCAACCTGTAGGGGGCATCGCAGAACAACGAGGTAAAGGGAAGAGTAAATAAAGAGTCCAGCAGGGGGCAGCGGTGAGGTAATAACCTTTTTTTTTTTATTTAAACATTAAGGCAGTGTCGTCACTGTTTTTATTTTTTTTATTTTTTTTTTTACACTGCTGTCCACAAAGCTTGCTGGTGGCTACGAGAATTTAACCATGTGACTCTCTCCCCCCTCCCCCCCCCCCTCTCTCTCTCTCTCTCTCTCTCTCTCTCTCTTCAACACCAACCTTAAAGCAAGCCACATAAATATTTACATCTCTTCGGTTTTATATACAATCCTTGCTATTATACAGTGGGTTACAATAAAAAAAAATATTTATATATATATGCACAAAAATCGTTGAGGGAAAAAAAAAAAAAAAAAAAAAAATGCACTTCCCCCTTACGGCCACCAGGGGGAGTCCTGCTGACATGACAGAAACAGAAACAGAATCAGAAAGAGAGCGATACGTTTCTGGGGGGGAAAAAAAAAAAAAAAAAAAATTTGAATTTAAAAAAAAAAAAAAAATTTGAATTTAAAAAAAAAAAAAAAAATTTGAATTTAAAAAAAAAAAAAAAAATTTATATATAAAGCCAAAAAAACGTTGGGGGAAAAAAAAAAAAAAAAAAATTTGAATTTAAAAAAAAAAAAAAAATTTGAATTTAAAAAAAAAAAAAAAATTTATATATAAAGCCAAAAAAACGTTGGGGGAAAAAAAAAAAAAAAAAAATGCACTTCCCCCTTACGGCCGCCAGGGGGAGTCCTGCTGACATGACAGAAACAGAAACAGAATCAGAAAGAGAGCGATACGTTTCTGGGGGGGATTAAAAAAAAAAATTAAAAAAAAAAAAATTTTTTAAAAAATAAAAAAAAAAATTTGGGGGAAAAAAAAAAAAAAAACAAAAAAAAAGCGAATCGTTTCTGGGGGGGATAAAAAAAAAAAATTAAAAAAAAAAAAAAATTCCGATGTTTTTTTTTTTCTTCTGTTTCCCTGCGTGGAGTCAGACCTGGAGAGGGTGAAGAAAACAAACGTCCCCCTCACGACTGGCTGGAAAATTAAATGGCACTTAACACTAGAAAGGTTCCACTTCCTGTTCCTGTTCCACTTCCTGTTCCTGTTCCACTTCCTGTTCCTGTGTGAAGCGACATTTTTTTGTTTCTTTTCTCTCTCTATTTTTTTAAAAACCAAATTGCGATTGTCTCTGCGAACGTGACAGGGAAAAAAAAAAAAAAAGACGTCGTCCTCCAGTCCGACTGAAGACAGAGACGGACAGAGACAGACATGAGGAGGACGAGGAGGAGGAGGACAAGGACAACACACCAGGACGTTAGAGAACGTTCACCCTGTAAACCAACGACAGGACATGTCCACTAGAGGGCGGGGGGGGGACGTGAAGACGGACTGACGCTGCGTCTCCGCTCCGAAGACGGAGGTGAGTGAGTGTGTGTGAGTGTGAGGACACAGGAAGCAGCAGAGGACTTCCTGTCAGAGTCCCGACTGCTGGTCCCAGGTCAGATGTGTCACCGATGTCTCTGTCCACTGCGGTCCAGGGGAGGACATGAGGACGGGAGGAGGAGGAGGAGGACACGGGGGGAGAGGAATGATGACGGAGGAGTGTCTCCCAGCGTCTGTCCTCGTCTCACTCGCTGTCAGACAGAGTCTCGTACTGGGACATGAGCAGAGGTTTGGGCTCCTCCTCCCAGGAGCGTCCCTGTCCCCCGGCTTGACCGGAGGACGGGGACGGGGCGGAGACCGTCCCGCTGGGGAATCGCATGATGAGGGGGTTACAGGGGAAAGGGGGCGGGGCCGAACCTGCGTCCAAAAAAAAAAAAAGTACTTCAACACCAGGTAGTACTGCAGTAGTAATACGTAGTAATACTGTGACCACCGGTACCTGTGGACGACGGTCTGTCCTCCCAGACGCGGTTGGTCAGGGGTGTCCTCCTGTTGCAGTCTCCCTCCGAGTGGACGGAGGACACGGAGGACGGCCGCTCCCCCCCGGACAGACCCGGACCTGGAGACTTGGCTTTGCGTCCGTTGGAGCGTCCACTGCCCTTGGACGACTTTCCTCCAGCTGTGGACAGAGACGGACAGCGGTAACCACAGGTGTCCAACCGCTAGTGTTCTACCCCTGGTGTCCAATCCCTGGTGTCCAACCCCCGGTGTCCAAACCCTGGTGCCCAAACCCCTAGTGTCCAAACCCTAGTGTCCAACCGCTAGTGTCCTACTTCCAACTCCTAGTGTCCAACCCCTAATGTCCAACTCCTAGTGTCCTACCCCTGGTGTTCTACCCCTAGTGTCCAACTCTTAGTGTCCAACCCCTAGTGTCCAACCC